AATGGAGAGCTCAGGAAAAGGGATCCTTCTTGGCAGCTTTCTGGAAGTACCACCTCCCTGAGTTGGTAGAAGGAGGAATGGGATGGTTATGGCTTAAACTACACATTCTTGCCTTTCTTACCAAAATTTGTGATAGATTTTTAAACATATGTCTCTTCATTTGCTATTTGCCTTTGCCTTTGATTACACTCAATATTTAAACACCAATCCCACCATAATCACATATTCCTTCCACCAAATTCAGGATGTTTCCATCCCAAACCCCAATCCCTGTCACAAAACATAACCAAAGTAATATATTTCATATTGTCTGTTATGAAGAACTGCTGAACATGCTTACAAAAAATGTTCATATAGGAAACTGTGAAGATTGTCCTATTTTGGCAGGAACCATTAAGACGTTCTACAGGATATCACTAACATGTTGTTAAAGCTTGGGTGGTGTGAGCTTTGGTATACATATCTGAAAGTATGTATATATGCATATATATATATATTTCCCTCTATGATTTGTTACCTACTATCTGAACCCCATCAAATATGGTGTGGTAATTATGGAGAATGGGTAGGGAGTGTTTTATGATGTCTTTGCACAGGCCGCTTTTGAGGCTGTGCAGTCCAGGAATATGTTTACTCATATGTGAGGTTCGATCCGAGTGCGTGGGGAACGGCCTTGAGCATGGCGGCAGTTGGACTGTGGAGGTTTTAGGCTGCCGGAGCTGGGTCCCTTGGGGTGGGGAGGGCTCTCACCCATCCCCCCCCGAGGCTATTCTTGGCTCCCCACTCAAGGCCCACTCCTTGGGGAGCTCAACAGACCATTTGTGGTGTCAGAGTCAAACCTGGGTTGGCTGCATGCGTACTTTGACCTCTGCAAGATAGCTCCAGCTTCAGTGTCAGAGGCTTTAAATGCCTGTTGTAACAATGATTTTTACCCTTTTCATTGGGGTGCTGGTCAGTGGAACTCCTCACACGGTTATGCCAGAAGTCAAACTTTCTTTCACTTCGCCTCGTCTGGCCTTGCCTTGCCCACCAAGCCAGGCCTGTCCCTTTCTTGCCATACCCAACTCTGCTCAGGGCTTACTCCTGCCTCTGAGCTCAAGGATCACTTCTGGCAGGGCTTGGGGAAGCATATGGGGATCTGGGGATCAAACCTCCCTTAGCTGTGTGCAAAGCAAGTGCCCTACCCTCTGTGCTATCTCTCTGCCCCTTTCTTTCGTTTTTCAAGAATAGTTTTGTTGGCTATGGAATTCTTTGTTGACTGGTTTTATCTTTAAGCACTTTAAATGAATCATCTTTACGCCTTCTGGCCTCCATGTTTGTAGTCAGCTAAGACTTCTATAACAAATACCAGAGAATGTGTGGTATGATTAACAAATTTATTTTCTCATAGTTCTGGAAGTGGAAAAGTACAAGATCAGGCCATGTAGTGGATTTCTGTCTCTTTATTGATATTCTAGTGATACATCATTCTTGTGCTTTCTTTGGTTTTCCAGACATGGTTTTAGTGAACTTTTGGACATATTGAAAAATTGCTAATATTTTTTATTTATAAGGATTTTATACACTTGGTTTTACCAGAAGTGATATGTTGTTTATAAATAATAACAGGAACTTCAGTATAGTTGCTTGTAAATAACTCCTTTCTTTCCTGAAATACTTATGCCATTAATTAATCTTATTATTGTCTTCTTTTGCATCGGGTACTGCCTCTGGTACAATCTTAAATAAAAGGGGCTGGGGAGATAGTGCACCGGGTAGGGTGCTAGCCTTGCAGGCTGTGCCCTATGGCCCCCTGAGCACCATCAGGAGTGATCCTGAGTGCAGAACTGGAAGTAACCCCTGAGTATCACTGGGTGGTTTAAAAACAAACAATGCAGGTGATCAGTAGCATTCAAGGCGAGCACTTTCACCTTGTGTTTTCTCTTCTGCCCTTAAGTGAATTTAAATTGGCTTTGACCATTGAGAATAATACTTGCCACTGAGCCATCACCCCAGCTCAGCCTCTTTGCTGTAATTTTTTGATAGATTATTTTTGTCAGCTCAAGTGAGTTTCCTTCTATTCTTACTTAGTTAACACATTAAAAAGTTATGAATGAGTATTGAGGTTTATCATTTGCTTTTTCTATATCTGTTTTAGATCATCAAACTCTTAATATAGTCAATGATATAGGGTTTCTTATGTTGAAACTATACTAAAGTCTCTGGAGTAAGTCCAACTTAGTCATGATGAATATTTTTATGTATCACAAGATTAAGTTTGCGAATATATTCTTTTAGAATTTTTGCATTCATGTTTGAGGGTGAGATTGCCTGGAATTTTCCTTTCTCAGTCAAAAGACAGTTCTGGTCTTTTGAATGAAAAAAAAAAAGGAGAGTTTTTTTTTTTTTTTGGTCTCTTGTTTTCTCTTGGAATGAGTTGCAGAAGAGTCTATTTTTCTAAATCATTTTTGGAAGAGGATTTATAGAAGATGGAATTATTTGTTCCTTGAAAGTTTAGTCGAGTTTTGCTTTTAAACCATCTGGGCCTTGGGTTTAGGGGGTGGATTTTAAGCTACTAATGTAATTTATTTGATGACTTTGTGAATATTTAGACTTTCTGTTTTCTTGATCAATTTTGGTAAGTTATCCATTCCAAGTTTTCCAATTTAATCACATTAATTTGCTTGTAGTATTCTCTTACCTTTAATGTTTATAATCTTTTTTGTCTTATTTTATACCCAAAATTATTTGTTTTCTCTTTGAAGAAAAAGAAATCAGTCTTAATAAAGATCTGTACCATTAGTCTTAATAAAAAACTAACCTTTGGTTTGTCAATCTTCTTTAGAATGTCTTTATTTTTATTTCATTACTTTCTACTCTTATATTCTAAGCCCAAAAATCTTAGGTTTTTGGGTTTTTCTTGGTGCATTAATTCTTTACAGTAATCCAAAAATTTTGATATGGAGATTATACCCTGCAGTTATAACTAAAAATTATTTTATAGTTTTCTCTTTGTTAATGCCTTATTAGAAATGTACAGATATTTTAATTTTCAAAGTATATGGGCATTTAAAATATACTCCTTTGTTATTTATTTACTTATTTCGCTTTTTGGGTCACACTCAGTGATACTCCTGGCTCTGGACTCGGGAATTACTCCTGGATGTGCTTGGGGACCATATGGGATGCCGTGAGTTGAACCAGGGTCGGTGCATGCAAGACAAATGCCCTACCTGAGGTACTATTGCTCCAGTCCCATTTGTTTTATATTTCATTTTTGTACCATGTTTAGAAAATGTAATCTATATGAAACTTTAAAACATTTGTTGAAATTTGCTTTATGGTTCAATATGTTTCATTTTATTTTCTTGACTATAACTTCCTTCTTCTAGCAAGCTGATTGTGTTGTTTTGCATAAATACGTAGACACATTTGTTGCAACCTCCCAATATGATGGATAGATTCATTATTTCTTTCACTCTTTTGTTTTATGTATTTTGAAACTATTATAAATACACATAGTTCTACAATATTCAAACTGTCTTTTTACTGCTGTATATTCTCTTTATTTCTAATGTCCTTTGTCAGAAAGTATATGTTTTGTATATATAACAATCTAGATAACTCCACTTTCTTTTTTACTTAATGGTGGACTCAGTGCTGTCCACAAGGCTGCACTCAAGGTTTACTCCTGGCTCTGTGCTCAGAGAACACTTCTGGCAGGCTTGGGGGACTATATGCAGAGTTGGGGATCGAACCTGGGTTGGTTGTGTGCAAGGCAAGAACCTTGCCCACAATATTATCTCTCTTGACTTCTAGATATGCTACTTATAAGTAGAATGCAACCATATTGGAAAACCTAATTCTCCATCTTTTGACTCAAGAGTTAATAGAATTGCAGTTATTGGTAAATGTGAATTTGTTTCTAACATCTGTTTTTAAAAAATTTTTGCTGTCTTGTCTTCTATGTGAATTTCCTTTCTTGATTTTTTTTTAAACATTAAGATTTACTTTTTCTAATTTCACTTTTCCCCTCATGAGGATTTGCTGTATTTTCAGCTTTTTTTTCTACCCTTGATATTTTCTCATTTGATGAAATCTAAATTTTTCCATATTTTGTCCCTATCCCCAAATATGAGTCCCAGAACACTTTATCTCAATTCCTTATCCGATCAACTTACAGGCCACTTTTGTCCAGTCTCTTTTTCCTTTCTCTTTTTGTCCAGTCTTTCAATGTGTCCTTTTGTGAAAGTCCCATGTAAACTGATATTATCTATTATTTCATATAGACAATATTATGTTTTTAAACTTTTATTGTTTATTATTTTTGTGGCCATGCCAATGGCAAACGCCCTACCCGCTGTTGTGATAGCACAGCAGTAGGGCATTTGCCTTGCGCGCAGCCAGCCTGGCCGAGCCGGGTTCGAATCTTCCGCCCCTCTCGGAGAGCCCGGCAAGCTACCAAGAGTATCTCACCCGAGTGGCAAAACCTGGCAAGCTACCCGTGACATGTTCAATATGCCAAACCCAGTAACAACAAATCTCAAAATAGAGACGTCACTGGGCCTGCTCGAGCGAATCGATGAACAACGGGAGGACAGTGTTTGTTTGTCTGTGGCCATGCCAGAGATCACTCCTCGCAGGTTTGGGATACATGTGATGCCAGGGATTGAACCCAATTGTTCATGTGAAAGGCAAGAGCCCTATCCACTATACTATTATACAGGCCCCCTTATATAGACAAGGTAGACTGAGATTTATCCTCATGGTCACCATGTCTTTGCTCACTATTACTTCTTGATTATTTTTTTTACAACCCACTGTGGGATTGTTGCCTTCTATCTGAAGTATGTTTTCTAGAAGCCCTTTAGATAACAATTATTCACAAATCCTAAATTTGTGTGGTTCAGTGGTAAAGCACTTGTCCTGGTTGTGTGAGACTCTTGATTCAATTACCAACTACACACACACACACACACACACACACACACACACACACAAATTTCTGCATATCTAAAATAGCTTTATTTTACCCTTTTTCTTGAAAATTAGTTTTACTAGGTTTATGATTTTAATTTGACAATGATTTCTTCTCTGTACTATGAAGATATGAGATTACTATTTTTTAATTTCCATCAATTATAACTTCCACAGATATTTTAATCTATTGCTATTTCACAATTTCAGTTGATCTGTCATTTTTTTCTTCTGACTGCTTTAAAGATTTTCTTCCCTTTTTTTCATTGAATCACTACAAGATACACAGTTACAAAGTTGTTTATGATTGAGTTCAGTCATACAATGTCCAAATACCTGTCCCTTAACCAGTATATATTTTCTGCCAACAATGTCCCCAGTTTCCCTCTTGCCCAAGAATTTTTTGCTGTGTGTCTAAGCATGGTTCTAATTTTTTAATTTCTTTTTCAGCTTGGTATTATGCATTATACTGTCTGCTTTATTCGATATCCAGTCTTTTTTGCCTTTCTCTCTAAAATTTACCTCTCCTCCATGATTTCTGAAACTCTAGCTATCTGTATCTTATACTTTTATTTTAACCTCTATATCTTTTAACTCCTCTATTTTCTATTTCTATTTACACTCTAATTCTTCAGCTGCACTTTAGAATTCACTAATTTTCTCTAATATACTGATAAACCTAATTGGTGTTGCTACCAACAATATATTTTTATTTCTGAAAATTATATTTTTCATTATACTTCATCTCTTCTGTGTCTTATTGTTTACTTATTTTTCACTCAATTAAAAATGTCTTGCATTTAGTGTGCATTTTCTTTTTAAGTGTCAGGGATCAAATCCAGAGGCTCAAACATGTTGAATCACGTCCCCTACATTCATTTAGTATATTGTTACTTTATATGGTTAGTTCTATTGTTTGAAGTCCTTTGAGGTGTATTTTTGCTGATTACCATTTATAGTGTGTTCATATCCATGTCCCAATGGATTGATCTGAACAGAAAATGCTTTTCTCCAGAAAGGATTTGAATTTTCTCCTGCCCGGGAGGAAAGCTTTATTTTGCTTGTTTACTGTGCGCTTGTTTAATGTGTGCGCCCATTTATTTTCTACCCCACTGGTTCCCCTTACCTCCGAAAGTTCAGCAGAACTTAAAAGATATGTTTTTAATGTAGAAATAAATAAAACATATATTTACTCTTTAAATCCTTTTTAAAAAATTAACATCTATCATAAGAAATTCCAGATTCCTTAGAGCTGGTCATGGATTTAATTCACGTAGAATTATGTAACAGGAATATATTTTCTTATAGCAACTGTCACAATGCTGGAAGAGTTGCAATGCAATCTTTAAATGAAACAACAGGTAGTTTACCTGCAGGGGTATACAAAATTTAAAAAGTGAAGTCTATTTGTCCAGGACTGAGTTATTTTGTAGAGGAAGGGCTCTACAGGAAATGGAGGCACTAAATGAACCACCCTAATGAATCATCTAGTTGCGGGAAAGTTCTCACTGGTGGGAAAAATGAAAATAGGCACCATATCCACTAAAAATTATAGAAAAAAGCTGGGTTTATGGTCCAATAAATGAGATCAACACTCCACAAACAAAGGATGATTATTCACTTTCTGGGTGGGTTGGCAGCGCAGGCTTTTTGGTTGCTAAGTGCATTCAGGGTTCCATTTGGAGCTGTTCATTTCTAAACAGAGACAATAAAAAATAAAAAAGGCCAAAGTACTGAGTAACTATTAGAGATCAAGCTGAACCCAAGAAGAACTATCTGCAATATTTACAGAAATTGATGGGGAAACAGCATTTAACTGAACAAAATCTCCACTACACACAGTTAAAGTGTTTTGTTCTAGACAAATGTCATCAACAAGTTCTCATGTGTTTGTTTGCTGGTTGCTAGCCCTGCTGTGTTCCTCTGGTTAACTCCCTTTTCACTTTCTCCAACAATTTTTAATCATTGTTAAATATTTCTTCTCCTCCTTCAGGTCTCAAAGCCAAACCTCCTTCCTTCCTTATAGCTCTCAGTAGATGGCACTGACTAACCCCTGCCACCACCCCCTCACTCCCACCCCATCTAAGGAGAGAGACATCAGTGACTTACACCTCAGAACACCAAAACTAACATTAAGACCAGCAAGGTCAGCCCTTTCCTCTCCAAAGTCAACTGTGCCATGGACTCATCTCCCCCACAGCCTTCAGCCTTGAGGACTTTGAGTCTCTTTTGTATTCATAATCTGTGTGTGTGTGTGTGTGTGTGTGTGTGTGTGTGTGTGTGTGTCTGTGTGTGTGATTTTTGAACACCCCTGTTCCTACTATTATTTTCTTTCCAGAAACATTTAAAACATTATTTAGCTCAGAACCATGACAAAAAGACCATGTTTCGTCCCTTCTATGACCCGATCTCTCTACTTCCTATCCTCTACCACACTTCACAGCCAAGTCTCAACAGAATTATTCAGAATAAGTGAATAAGTCTCCTTTTTCTTTAAGTCTCACTCAGTCCCAGTCCTAACATAACCCCTAGGGAGGGACAGTGTTGCTATTCACACTCCTTGACTTCTCCTGACCTTCAACTCTATTTCACACACACACGCGCGCGCGCACACACACACACACACACACACACACACACACACACCTTTAGTCTTTAAAATGTCAATTATAAAAAAAGTAAACATTATTTGAATCGCTATATTCTCTGAAAAAAACTTATTTACTATTAAAATTACTTATATAATTACTTACTGTATCATTATGTATGATTATATAATTAACCATAAGATTAGTCATTATTATCAATATTAGTATTATATACATTTTAGTGTCAATTATCTTTATTTCTACTTTATACTTCAGACCTTTCATTCTTTAAAATACTACATGCATAACTAGATTATGTCAGTTTTAAAATGAAAAATACAGAGCATTTGAAAGTATTTATTAGGGGGTATAGGGGGTGCCCAGTGGTTGGTGCTGGCCTTATAAACCTTATTTGCCTGACTTGGCCCTTCAGGCCGGCTCTGCAGTTTGGGAAAACCTAGTGTGTGAAAGTTGTAAAACCATTGCGAAATCTCCAACTCAGGGCTGTGCCTCGCACCCAGCACAAACTCTGTCCTCCAGGAGTGTTTCCCGCCCCCTCCTGGTGGGCCTTTCCACTCCGTGCCACCCTGCTTTGGCACCTGGCTCTCCCCCAGCCCCTCACAAGCTTGTCCCTTTGGCGCTACATGCCTGCCTGCCTGTCCTGGAAGAGAGCTCAAACCCAAAGCTTCTTGGACTCTGCCTCAAGCTTCCTTCCTTGGAGCCGGCTCTGTTTTAGAAGGCTCCTGGCACCTTCTAGTGGGCAGGGCATGGACTGAAAGAAAAGCCTGAAATTCATGTAAGGGTTGGTGTTAATTCTCTGCGCCTCTTAGTAGTACAAGATTAAAAACAAAACACCTGGATGCGTCGGCACCAAGTTTTAAACGTTGACCTTTCCGACTGAGGCACTGAGGTTTCCTGGGCACAATGGTTTCAGGTGTGCTTGCACCAGAGGCACAGACTTTACCAGGTTGGAGGGAGGTGCCAGCGTGGGCACGATGTGACCAGCTGCCTGGTGAGGTAGGAGTAGCCGCAGGGGATAGCAGTGCAAGGTCAAACTCGCAGAACATCCGGCCAGCAGTGTGGGCTACATGCTTTCCCCGACGGGTCAGGCAGGTGGATGGAGAGCACTGGATTGGTTCTGCGCCAGCATCTTTGGTATAAAGACCCAGGAACAGGGGTGAGGAGAAGAGAGGGCAGCTGACATTGAATGGAGGCGGCCAGGCCAAGTGGGTCCCAGAAGCAATGGGCCCTCATTTGTGAAGCAAACGCTAAACGCTGCTGCTCTCTGCTCTGCTACCTGCTCTGCTCGGCACTGAGCACCCAAGGTTCTGGGAGTGGCTCTTCAGGGCCCCCTTAGGAGGCCCCGTTTGTGCTGCTCAACCTTGGCATGCAGACGGAAAATGTGTGCAGCGAACAGCAGCTTCACAGCTCACCGTCCCGCCAGAGGGTCTTGCACTCAACCCTCCTTTTCTTCTTTGCACTAATGGACCCTGACATGCTCCACAGACACAAAATCATGAAGCCCACCCGGGGAGCAGGGCAGTCCTCACTGGCTTCATTATGTACGCAAGGTTGGGGGTGGGGAATGGGGGGAGGCACACACCTGGCAGTCCCTAGGGGGGCTATCCTTGCCTCTGTGCTCTTGGTTTGCCTCCTGTGGTGCCCAAGATTGCACTGGGTGCGGGGGGGGGGTGGTCACCTGCACGCAAGGCAAACCCCTTAACTCCTGTACTATCTCTCCAGCCCACTGACTCTATTCCATCCTGAGACACCCTCATTCTAAGAGCCCTAAGAACTAGGTGTGACCGGTACCCCTATTCAGAACCCTCCTCTATGTGCCTCTCGCCGAGATCTTCATCAGCATATCACCCCTTGGGATTTAAAAGATTTTTGGTGTGTGTGTGTGTGTGTGTGTGTGTGTAGTCTCAAGATGGAGACATTACTGGGCCCTCTCGAGCAAATCGATGAACAACGGGAGGACTGTGACTGTGTGTGTGTGTGTGTGTGTGTGTGTGAAGTCTCACGATGGAGACATTACTGGGCCCTCTCGAGCAAATCGATGAACAACGGGAGGACTGTGACTCTGTGTGTGTGTGTGTGTGTGTGTGAAGTCTCACGATGGAGACATTACTGGGCCCTCTTGAGCAAATCAATGAACAACGGGAGGACTGTGACTCTGTGTGTGTGTGTGTGTGTGTGTGAAGTCTCACGATGGAGACATTACTGGGCCCTCTTGAGCAAATCAATGAACAACGGGAGGACTGTGACTCTGTGTGTGTGTGTGTGTGTGTGTGTGTGAGTGTGTGTGTGTGTGTGAAGTCTCACGATGGAGACATTACTGGGCCCTCTCGAGCAAATCGATGAACAACGGGAGGACTGTGACTCTGTGTGTGTGTGTGTGTGTGTGTGTGTGTGTGTGTGTGTGTGTGTGTTCCTGAATCACTCTGCTTCTGCTGCAGGGTGAGGGTTTAGGTAAGAGTGACTAGGCCAGCCAAGAGACCATTCTCAGTGGGAATCAGCAGGGAGATGACAGGTGGTGCAGGACACGTGTCCGGCTGCAGCTCTGGGGTAGCAGCTGTGTGTTAAGTCTGTAGCTTGGGTGGCAAAGCCCACCCAGTCCAGGCATGTGGACACGGAACCCTCCCCCACGGAGAGGCCTTTGGCCACGGCAGTCTCCTGCATGCCTCCTGCAGGAGCTCCATCCCAGGAGCCAGAGGACATCAGAAGCAGGTCCAGCAGTAACGGTTGACCCCAGGCAGTTGCCCCATCCCTACTGCTGTGGGGCCAAAAGAGCCACGGGCTGAGGCACAGGCAGGCACCGGTTGCACCTCCCTTGGTGCAAACTGACTTGGACGGGGTCTGTCCTCGGCCTTCCTGGGAGACAGTGGAACTAAGGACGAGGCGAGAAGGCACAGCGGTTTCTGGAAGGGTCCTTGTGGGATGGAAGTGGGGCGCCAGGACACTTGTTCTCAAGAGAGTGCTCATTAGTGGTGCTGGCGAGGTGTTGACTTCACACCCCCGTACAAAGATTGATGGAGACACACTGCCGGGGGGCGGGGCGGGGGAATGTCTGACTTTCAGGAACAAGTCTCCAGCTCATCAGGGAGGCTGGAAAGGTGGAGGCAGCAGCTCCAGTTCTAAATACCATTTCATACCCCCCTACCTGGCAAAGACCAGGCCCCTGATTGGCTTCTGCTGGGCACAGACAGCAAACGCATCCCAGCACCTTTGTTCCCTCTGGCAGCTCTCAGAGGAGGGTCCGGAGGAGCTGCCCCCTTCCCCCGGCCCTGCTCACTGGCTACTCCTTAACCCTGTCACCCCTATAAGGCTCCAGGCATAGCTACCTGCTCCTTACAGTTCTGCAAATCTAGGGAAGTGACCAGAGAAGAGTGGGGTGTGTCAATGAAACTATCTCAACCTCTCTCTGCCTTTCTGTGTGCGAAAGCGTGTGCCTTTCTGCAAACCTCCCCAAAGCGCGAGCTGTTGTGCTAGCACCCGGAACTGGCTTTTCGATCTCAGGGACTCAAGTGCTCAGCTAAATGAGTGTAATTGCAAATTCTGTTGCCTATATAAAATACATATGAACATACACGTGGGCGTCATTCTGGATATTAGCGCGTACATTGGTGGGCGCCTAGGGATTGGGCGGTCTCACCCCCCATCCTCGCGGAGTCCCTCCGCAGGTGAAGAAGCAGGTAAAGAAGCCCCGAGTGCTCTAGGCCTGGTGCCCCCGGGTCTGCCTTCCAGGGCGGGGCTCGGGCAGGCACTCACACGTGGCTCGTCTTCTGAGCCAGGGTGTGGTTCGTGGGCGCTGTGAGCTGCACGGCTCCATCCTTCTCCCAGCCCCGCCGGATCTTGGAGAGTCTGCGGCCGATGCAGGGCAGGAGGAAGAGGCCTTTAGCCAGGATGACCACGCAGGGCACCAGCAGGGTAAGGGTGAAGGTGGGAGGCAGGTAGAACTTGTAGCGGCTCTCCTCGAAGGCGCGCGTCCAGCCGTAGGTGAGTGTGTGCAGCGTGCTCAGCACCAGAGCCACGAAGCCCAGGTTGGACTGTAGGAGAGAGAGAAGAAGGCGGCATTACGGGGTGCAGGTTCTCCCTCCACGGTTAACCTGCTTGCCTGGCAGGGAGAAAGGTGAGGAGGGAAGTGGGGGTGGCTACAGTCCTCAGGGCTCTGGATTTAAACCTAGTCCTGGAGAGGGGTCAGAGACTCTGCATGCTGGAGGCCCTGCACCCACGTCCCCTAGCGCTTTGGGTGTAGGCCAGTTGGTTTCCAGCCCCACAAGCACGAGCATCTCTGCACCACCCACCCCGATCACCAGCCAGGCCCATCCCACTGAGCAGAGTATTGCTGGGAAAGGCCTCCAGAAGTGCTGGGGAGTCGCAGTCCCCAACACAAGAATATCCCCAGCCCCATGCTCCTTCTGCATGGTCTTATTTTGGCAATCCGTTGTGTATCAAGAGAAATCATTCCTTAGCCCAAGCAGTCTTAGTTTGTAATTTTGGAATATAGGTTAGTAATAAATGTCGACGGAAGCCAACTGGAAAGATTATTATCGTTAATATTTTTTGGCTTTTTGGGTCACACCCGGCGATGCACAGGGGTGACTCCTGGCTTTGCACTCAGGAAACCATATGGGATGCTTGGAATCGAACCCAGGTCTGCTACATGCAAGGCAAATACTCCCCCAACTGTACTATCGCTCCAGCCCCTGAAAAAATGCTTGAGGATCCAAAATTATTTCTTTGTTGTGCTCTGTTTGTTGGACCACACCTGGCACTCCACAGGGGCAACTCCCAGTTATGCGCTCAGGGTGAGGGTGGCGTGATGCTCAGGGGACCAGGTGGCGTCAGGGATTAAACTCAGGTTCACTGCATGCAAAGTGTAAATGTCAGCTCTGGCCGACTGAACCTCCTCTCTGGTCTTTCAAAATCACTCTGCATTGTGAAAGATACCAGCCTTCCTTATCTCTTAAAAATCTTTCATGGAATCACAATTTCTGGAGAAATCTCACTGGCCTTCTTTCTTGGTTCAGCCAGAGAACTGCACCCCTCAGGGCTAACATAAATGTTCCATAGACTCAGGGCAGGAGGTCATGCATATAACGTGCATCAAAGCACTGGAAACTATGGTGGGCAATTCCCTCAACAGTGAGTTCTTTCCAGACTCTGCATCTCATCATTATTCAACTCTCTGAGTCTGTTTCCCCTACAGAAAAGTAGAAATTATGCTTGTGCCCTGAAGGTGAATACTGGTTGACTCATGAGGGTTCAGCAAAACATTAATAACTCATCCAGACTGTAGGGGCAGGAGCGATAGTACAGCAGGTAGGGTATCTGCCTTGCACGCGGCCAACCCAGGTTTAATTCCCAGCATTCCATATGGTCCCTTGAGCACTGCCGGGAGTAATTCCTGAGCACAGAGCCAGGAGTAACACTGAGCATCACCAGGTGTTGTACAAAAACCCTAAAAATAAAAGTAAAATAACTAAAAAGTAAAATAACCCAGATTGTTACTTATACCGCTGGTAGATGCCACAGGACTTTATTTTTGTGTCTCCCAAACAATGCTCAGGTAAGTCCAGTGATACCCAACCAGGAAGGGTGGTTCTCTGGGGGGTCATTGGAGTCACCCTAGCAGTGCTGTGAGGGGCAATGCTAGGGAACTTGGGGACTCACAAATGCCAAACAGGCACCCTAGCCTTTTGAGTTATCTGACCCTGTCAGAAGACATGAAGTTAAAAAAAAACTTAAAATATTATACTCATTTTATGTATAACTCATGTTCATCAGGGTAACAAGTGTCTGCCAGCAGGCAGGCCCAAATCATAATTTCACAGATAATATTTGACATAAGATCAGGCTTGATGGAAAGAGAAGTCGATTAGGAGATACACACGGAGTGAAAAATTATTCATGGACATGGCCCCAATGGCTAGAGCGGATAGCACAGCGGGTAGGGCGTTTGCCTTGCATGCAGCCGACCTGGGTTCGATTCCTCCATCCCTCTTGGAGAGCCCGGCAAGCTACCAAGAGTATCCTGCCTGCACAGCAGAGCCTGGCAAGCTCCCCGTGGAGTATTCGATATGCCAAAAACAGTAACAACACGTCTCACAATGGAGACATTACTGGTGCCTGCTCGAGCAAATCAATGAACAACAGGACGAAGGTGCTACAGAACACGGCCCCGACAGTGAAGTCGATCTGAAGGGTTCTGCAGATGGGGTACCCTGACACTCAGACCCCGAACAAACAGGTGCTCTGTGGGTATCGGTCCCTTTCCTCCTACCACGCTGAGTGGTATACACTCAGGGATATTCCTGCCAGGACTAATCTCCATCTGGGAGGTGACATATAATCATGGGGAAGGCAAGGCCATTGCAGATCACTGGAAACAGTCCCGGCGACCTGCGAATCCTTCCCCTCCAGCAGTGTGGGTGTGGGTGAGCTGCTGAAACTGCCACCCAAGAGCAGTTCCTCAGTCACCCCAGGTGTGAGGAAGCAGGTTTGTCCACGGGAAGGGCAGCTCATCCCTCCAGCCTCTGGGAAAGCTGCCACGGAAGGGTTCTGAGCACGACCCGGAGGTGAGCCATGTGCTACTGCTAGCAGCTACCTCGTCAGCTTCAGTGAGAAGGAACCGAGCCCAGAGACTAAAGGCAGAAGTTGGGGTGGCGGGGGGAGGAAGTGGAGATGTAGCACGTTCAAGAGAGAGCAGGGTCACCCGGTGTTGGGGCAACGCTGGGGCTGGAGACAGAGCGGGCAGTTCTGATGGAATTCTGTAAGCACCAAGGAGCCTCCAAGAGGTCTGGGCAGGAAAGACCAGGTTTATTACATACGAAGTGAAAACTGCAGCGATCCATCAAGCCATGAACACACGAGTGCCTTCTCCAAGGAGATATTACCAGTTTCATTGAAACAAGCTCCCCACGATTACCTCCCAGCCCAGCTTGTCAGTATTGATCCAGGGGCTCAGCTGAGAGTTGCTGTTTAGTTTGGACTCCCCTTTGACATGTTCATTTATTTACTCATTCTTGGGCCACACCTGGTGGTTCTTAGGGGACTACTTCTAGATGGGTCTTCTGGAGATTGTTCCCTGCAGTGCTGAAGGACCTGTGGTGTCAGGGATTGAGCCTGGGGATTCCGGGTGCACAGCATGTGCCCTGGCCCTTGGCACCATCTCCACAGCCCTCGAAATGCTTTAAAGTGGGTCTGCAATACAGATAAGAAAAGAGGCCATCGTGTTTGTCCCTTACCCACTTTCAGCACGCAACTCCCATCCAGAGCAATCCCTGTCACTGCCCATCATTGTCCTAATGGTCCCTTCTTTATCCCAACTGCCCTCTCCTGAGCCCTTGAGGTAGGCTTTCAACCATGGACCATTCATCCTATATATGGATGTTCATCTCATACTGTGTGTGTGTATTTTTATATCCTACAAATGGGTGCAGTCATTCTATGTCTGTCCTCCTGACTTATTCACTCAGCATGATACTCTCCCCATTGTCCTCCATCCATTCACAAGCAAGCTTCATGACTTCATTTTTTCTAATAGCTGTAGAGTATTCCATTATGCAAAAGAAGAGAGAGGGAGAGAGAGAGAGAGACAGAGAGAGAGAGAGAGAAAGAGAGGGAGGGGGAGGAGAAAAGTGCCTGCCATAGAGCCAGGTTGGAGGCAGGGGTGGCAGGAGGGATACAGGATACAGAGGATATTGATGGTGGGAAACGTGCACTGGTGGAGGGATGGGTGCTGGAACATTCTATGACTGAAACCCGATCACGAAAGTGTTGTAACTTTATCTCACAGTGATTCAACAAAAAATAAATTAAAAAAATTAAAAATAAGTAAAGTGGGTCTGGTGCTGGTAGTGTGCCTCATTCTTGCTCTCAGCTAGCGTCGGGACGTACTGCTGGCGCCTGCTCTCATCCAAACAACTAGGCAGCACAAAGCTCCTAGACAGGTTTCCAAGTACAACCTGTCTGATCTCAGTACACTGTAAGCAGCCTAAAGATTCCCAGTCTTTATCCCTCCGAGCTATTCTTGGTATTGTTACCACTTCAAGATTCTTGCTATCTCAGGGGCCAGAGTGATAGTGCAGTGGCTAGGGCATTTGACTTGCATGTCGCTGACCCTGGTTCAATCCCTGGCACCCTATATGGTCCCCTGAGCACCGCCAGAAGTGATCTCTGAGCACAGAGGCTGGAGTACGCCCTGAGCACTGCCAGGTGTACCGTCCCCCTCTCCACCCAAACAGAAGATTCTTACTTACTTCCTAACTCATGGCCCATTGGAAAAAGCTGTGGTTGACTCTGTGTTACCCCAGTTCCTCCATAAATCATATTAAAATGGCTCCCAATGGAGATACCCTCCCCTCGATGCCCCTCTCCCACGAATACCAGACTGTGAGTCACACAGAGTTGAGTCCTTATCACTTCCAGACACACGTATCAGGGATTCTAACCTCTATAGGAATGACTTAGCCACACCCATTTTTTCGAAGTTCTGATTTTTGGTTTGATATTGAAGACTGGCATTAGAAGGTGCCCAGCCTCCGGACTCAGATTTTGCAAAATGAGAAAGAGGATGATTGTAAAAATAAAAGTGTCCCTGGGACCAAAAACATATTTGCACATTATACTTGATAAATATCAAATTAATTAAAATTAACATTTTGCTAAACATAAACACTCCCAGTTCAAAAATAGGCAAAGGGCTTGAATAGAAATGTCTCTAAAATATATGTGAGTGAACAAGAAACACTAGAAAGAGATGTCCATGACACCAATCATTAGGGAAACGCAAATCAAAAGCACAGTGAGACACCACCTCAAACTCCTTAGGAAGTCTGCTATGCTATCAAAAACACAGAACAACCCACATGTTGGTGAGCATGAGGGAAACTGGATCCCTTTGGTACTGTGGAGATTATGCGAGTGTAAAATGGCACAGCTGTCAGGGAACATGGTATAGCAGTTCCTCCGTACATGAAAACGCAATTACCCTCTGTTCCAGAAACTTCACTTCTGGTTGATACTCACAAGAACCGCAAGCAGA